ATCTGATGTACTAATCTCAGGATAGTGGTTTTTTTTTTTTCTTCTCTTTCAAAGTCATCCCATCTCAGATTTCTGTACACAGAGTAAACATAGTGATCAGTATTAGACGGTTTCACTTTGTATGTATCAGGTATTTCACGTGCATTACTAACTTACGTCTTCTTAAAATTCTATTCCACTGAGGACACAGAGTGACCTAGAGCAATGGGAGCCCTCATCAACATTCAGCTGATGCTGGCTACGACTGCTCATTGCATAGACAAAGCAAAATGACCATGTCGATCAGAATTTCAAGAAAACTGGTGAAAGCTTCTCTTTTTTTAAAAAAAAAATCTACAGATTTTTCTGAGAGGATCAGGCCCAGAACACATGCAGTGATGGAGATCCAAGAAAGCTTTCTTGCCTACCTCAGCTGCAATCCATGGAGAGAAATGAATCCTCCAGCCTATTTCCTTCTCTCTTCCACCTCTGATATGGGTGATTGTTTCTTTCTGGCTTCTTTCACCACCGCAGGGCAATGAAAGTGCATGCCATCCACAGCCTCTGATCACACTTCTGTTGCCATGTGAGACATTGCTGAGGTTAGCAACTCAAAAATAAATGTTACTTAAACATAACAAATAGGGTATGATGAAAGTGACACTTAGCATTCACCAAATGCTCTGCAATATCAAGGATGCTAGTGTACCATTTGCTCATATTTACAGGTTATTATAGATTCATAAGGAGCTTACGAGGGAAGGGGAAATAAAATAGATTTTAAAAGACAATAGATATTTAACAGAATTAAGACTATCAGTCCCAGGTTGAAATGTCAAACCAATGATTTTCCAAGTTGAATAGACTGCTTATCAGTGACAGTTTCTCGATTCTTACTGAATATCCTTAAACTACTACATCTTCTTGATATGCCACAGTATATACAAGAGATTAAAAAATAGGTTGACAGAATTCAACTGTGTTCAATGAATATAGCTCTACAGCTGCAACAACTATCAAATTCTGAGCTAGCACTGGCTTCCTAGGGAATGATTATCCACATTACATAGTCAAAAATATATAGTCTATCAGAGAAAAATCACAGCCCTATCCGCGTACCTTTTGGTATATCAATTACCTTTGGCTAAGAGAAGACAGCATTTGTACTGCCTCTGCTTAGGTTAAGGAGCTATGTGGGGTCCTTTCTGCCTCCCTGAGTCATTCTCATTCTCCCCTCCACCCCAGGTATGCATGTAAGTGAATGCAGAGAGGTCTGCGCACTTCTGTTTCCTCAGAAGTTACTTGGCTATCTATTCCTTATTTAGTAGAATTACATTAAGAAAAACAACAGGTAGAGTACAAATCTTACTGACAGGAAAATTCCCATAATTTTGTGCAAGAAATAATTAGATAATTGAATTTTGAATGTTTTAATATTGCTTGGTTATATACTGAGAGCAGTACCCTGGGCTCACCCTTCCTTAAGGGTAATGCTTTGGAGGGACTGATAATGCTATGTCTTTCGAAGCATAATTCCCATGAGTGCCTGCCAAAATAACTGATGGAGGAAGGTCCACTTGCAAAGGATATTTAAAGCAGACACAATAGACCAAAGCATCTCAGATTACACTTGCATAGAACAACATCACAAATTAACTCATAGAACATACAAACATTTTGACTAAACTACATCCACATGTTCATACATATATATATACGTGCAATATATAACAAAATAAAATGCCATGTTCACTTATCCTATTTTCTTATTTTTCTGATTTCTACTTAGGAGCTCTTACAGTAAACTAAAGTATAAATTAAGTTATTCAGAATCATATACACAAAAGAGAATTATAAAATACAATTTGTGCTTGCTAATGTTACCTGATTAATAATTTGTAACAGTTTTTGGCTATTTATCTGAACGAAACAGAAAGAATAAGGAAGAAGTGTGTTTGCAGCTGTTATGAGTGATGGAGCTCTCTCCAGGAACAGTTAACTACAATGGAAAAGAGAACAAATTGAATGTTATACTCAGCAGAAAATTATATGATGCAGAGGAAAAAAATCACAGCCTTTTCAAATAGTTGTGTCTACATGTTATCTCAATATTGGCTCTAGCTTTTCATGTTATCCTCCAAGACACAAATTATTAAGGAAAAGTCAATATTTCAACTAAAGAGGATTTTTGTGACTTGCCATATTAAACAGTGAATAAACATGAAAATCAGCACTTATCTTTCTGCTAATAAGTTTCAATTTCTCATTTCTCAAAATTGGCTGAAGGGAATTTTCTGCCTTTTCCACAGATCATTCTGAGTGGGAGGCAGTTAATGGAAAGTGTTCTTCAAACTTTAAGAAATCTATGACCAAATAGAAATATATTTTATATTGCTATGCTTTTACTGCATATAAAAGCCAACGTATAGTTCACCATTACCACTCCAGTAATCTGGATCACATTACCTCTCACTGAATGAAATAAAAGCACGGCAGTTCTCATGGCAAGAATACCTGCAGCTGCTGGGACAGGTGCTGCTTCTGCATTAGCTCAGGCACTGCTCTCTAACTGCTTTAGCTCACAAGGTGGGGTTCTGGTAGACTCAATTATAAGTCACCAATTGGAAGAAAGCTTCATCCTGTACATTACTTCCTGCACCGACTTCTTGTGTTTTCCATACGGGTCTTAACCCGCATGCTGATCCTGTCTATCCTTCATTCTGTTGAGGCATTAACAAGATCACAGCTACAGTTAGTTAAGGTGCCACTACAGATTACATTCAGCAAGATTAATCTCAATATACAAAGAATAATTTACCCCATAGTCATTTTAAAAGTACGTTAACTCTCCTGTTTATGTACTTTTTTTGTTGTTTCATTTTCTTCCTGCTGTTACCTATTATTTAGTTTAAATTGATTAGAGGAAAGAAGGAAAAATATAAGAAAAGACAAGTAAAAGAAAATACAATCTCAAACTTCCCACAACTAAATTCTTGATTTTATTGTTATCAAAACAGCAAAACAACAACAACAAAGTAACTTTGTAACCAATCTAATTCTCCTTGCAGATAATTAAGAATGTGTAATTAAAAATTAAAATACCCCGTGAGACATCTCAGCATACAGTATACATTGCTTCTGCTGCTTGAACAGTTTAACATTGTTAACTTTTCTAATAATCATAGGAATACATTAATTAAAAATCTCTGGTCCTGTAAGTATTTTATTCTGATAAATTCTAACAAAATCTCTGCAGAGAAGAAGTATACAGATTTCCAAGCAGAAAGGCAAGGCCTTGAGGAAAAGTCCACATTCAGACTCTCTTAAATAGATCTTGCATTTACAATTATCCTCATTAGTGGTAGGCTTTCCTTTAGTTCTGAGAAAAGCATTAAATAAGCTTATTTTCTGGAGAAGTAATGGATTTGGAATGAATTAATATTGGGATCCAGTACTGGGTCTCAAAATTGAACACACAATGTGTAAATGGCAAAGGTATCCAAACTACCAGTATGGAAAAAAAAAGAGTATAGGCTAAATACCAAATATATTAACATTTTCTATTGCTAACCTCGGTTCCTCTACGATTGAAAATCTACCATGTGATAAACAGATGCCAGTAGAAAGTCTATCATAAGATAAAGAGTAAAAATGATGCAACTGAGCCCCTGGAGTAGTGCAGCATGAAGTTGATTTTTTTTTTTCCATGGAAACCATCAGAATCAAGATGTGCTGTTATGAGTTCATTTTAAAAAACACTGAATGGTCCAAAATGAATGTGCCATTGCAGCAATGACAGAGACTTAATATAAACTGCAGATAACTCAGGAATTGCAAATGGAATCACCCTTTTAAGTTGCACTATTAAGTGTACTTTCAGATAAAAATCTGTGGGACCTGTGGGAACTCAACAAATAGAAAAGAACCACAGCAAATAACTCTTAATAGGATATCTGAAATAATTTGATTGTTACTTAGCTGTAAAGCAGTATTTTTCCCAATGCTCATTAACAGGAATAAGAAAACAAGTTTAATGAATATGAAAAAAACTAGGGCATCTGATTTAGCAGAAGAAAACATCCTGAAACAGCAGTTTACAAAGAAATTAAATACAAGTTAACTGCTCTGTAATCTAGCATAAGTCACTCTTAAAATTCCACTTGCCTTTGCAGTCACAACGATGATTATGAATATATTAGCTAAACTGCTCAATTTTGTACTTTGGACTTGTTTCATGTTATCAGAGGAAATTACAACCTTCTCAAAGCTCATTCAGAACAATTAAGAGAAAAGATTTCTGCAGCTTCTGCACCCACACCTTTCAGCATGTAGAGAACCAATTCAAGTCAAAAAGCTGTAAGTAAAATGAGACAAAATTATGTTACAATAAAACACAGCACCAAGATCTGAATAAATATGCCAAGATGTAATCAGTAGTCAATCTAATGACAATAAATTCCAACTTCAGCATTTTAATGGTGTCTTGAAACATAGATACAGACTTAGACTTGCAAACAGCCATGGGTTCAATTGTAAAATGTCCAAACTTTACAGGTAATGCCACCAATATCTATGCTACTAAGGCTGCAAGTGAAGAGGTGCATTTTATTTAAACTTTTTTTTTTTTTTTTTTTTTTACAGAAAAAGTTCCCAAACTTTTGTTATCTTTACCTGTTCATTTTCAAATTGATTTGTTACTTTAGGTGATTTTTTTAAAAATCAACTAGTAGAATACAAAAAAAAAAAAGCAGGAAAATCAATATGTGAAGACATTACAGTTGTTTCTCCTGACTACGTTCACTGGTCAGGTGAGAAACCTGGAGTCGGTACATGTACAAACGGAGCACTTTGGAACATGAGAACTAGTTTTCCTGTGCAAGCTGTAATTAGCTGTCAGTTTCCCCATGTACATTTTCCATGTGCACTTTGAGGTAATCATTTCTTGTAAACTTCTTGTGGCAAAGCTGGCACTCTGCCATCGGGCGATTGGGGTTGTGAGTCAGCTTGTGTCGGATCAGCATCTTCTTCAAGCTGAAGGACAGATCACAAACCTAAGGCAGTTAAGACAAAAGAGGTTTTAAATACTCAATTGCATAAAGCACTCATTATTTTACAACAGTGAGGCCACAGACACACAAATTTGCAACACTTAATCAATGTGTTAAGGCACTGGAAGAATAACTCCTTAACAGAATACTATGGATTGTTAGTCTGGCTAGTATTTTACAATGTCTTATGTTAAAGTGGTACCACAGACACAGGGTGGGAAAACGGGGAAGTGGGGAAGCAGCTCCATTCCTCAAAATATCAATATGCTAAAGTGCCCAATTACATCAGCTTTTAAAAACACATTATTCTATCTGGGATGCTGCAAAAATTATGACAAAGCCACAAAACCTCTGCCAACTTGACCTCAAATGGAACGTTTCCTTCCTGATCTCCACAAAGGGATCTGTGGGTTCCTAAAAAAATCTGTTCATATTGCTCAGTTACAGGAGGGAAGGCAGGAAGAGAAGAGCAGTCATTTCTTCAGGAGAAAGAAGTCATTTCTGAAGAGCAGTCATTTCTTTAACAAGACCCTGTACCAAAGCCAAAATGAAAAGTTAAGAATAGACTCAGTCAAGAAAGGTTAGAAAGTAAAGTAGGAATGTAAACAAAACAAGCAGTGCTCAAATTATTAGACAAAAATGAAGAGACAGGCTTTGGATCTTAGAATTCTAAGTTAATTTTAGAGAAAAAAAAGTCTTCCATAGTGAAGAAAGTCCAAATTCAGCAGAACTGTTGAAAACTTTTGGAAAATCTTCTGGAAAACTCTCCTTCAAAGAGCAGTAACAGGTTTATGAAGCATGACATCTTTCTGCATACATCAGACGGATTCCTTTCTATTTCAAAAGGTGTGCATGTTTACTAAGTGTACTTTCACATTATTTCTTACCATTTACTCAAAACACAAGGCAAATGTATTCCTCCTCACTATCAGACACTCCTTCTAGATCCCTTTTTTAAAGTTGTTATCACATTCTTTTTGCAAGAAGACCATCTCAGGCAAGTGGCTAGTCAGACACTTCCCAGGTGTTTCTGAATCAAGGCATATGACTCCGAAGTAAATCCTCTATTTTTAAAGTAAATGGTCTATAATAGTCCTTCCCCACCCTCCCATTTACTATGTTCATCTAACAACTGGCTTTAGTAGAATGAGTCCTGCTTATGCTTCAAGACTCTAAAACATTCTACTACGTATCTCCTTCGAAAACAGCAGGGAAAGCATAGGATCATTACTTCAATATATGATATGTATTGTGATGTGCTCATGTATACAAGTTTTTTTTTTCTTTTTCCTTTTTTTAGGAGTTCACTTGGCATTTTAATTTAATAAGGCAGTTTGCTGTTTTATGCTGGATTTACAGCCATCCTTGCTTAGGCGCAATCTCTTCAAAATGATCAAACTTTTGTTCAAGTAGGGAGAATGGAGGTAACTGACACTTACAGGTAAGTGTAGGGTCAACAAAAGGCACCGCGTAGGGAACATTCTGTC